TGCTCATAGGGGGTCGTATGATTGTTGGGTTTTTCTCTGTATGTATTATTGTAGCGTCGACCTTACAATATAAAGCGCCTGTTGTTGTGATATGGTGCTATATAAATAAAACTGAATTGAATGATGTGTAAGCGATTACCTTTTTTCTTCTTCGAGCTGATTGGCCAGTTCCAGCTTATCCTTCTGCGTGCTGGCCAGCATGGCTTTGACTTGCTGGAGACCATTCTCGTTCTCTGTCACATACTGCAAACAGGAGACACAAATTTAATTTTTTCACAACGACAAAGGTTTTTCCTTTTTCACCCGTTCTCCCTCTCAGGTCGTCACACACAGACGCTCAGTCAGGACATGCAGGCGTCACGTTGTAAAAGCCCCTTTGGCCTCGTTTTTCACAGTGTGGGCAGCGCGAAGCGAGATGATGCGGGGTCGGTTTTTGTGACCATTACTATGTGCTTAATTGTGGTCAGAGAAGCTGGCTGTAAATGGGCGACTGCCTTTAAAAGTGTGTGAAATGGTGATTTTTTTTTTAAAACCCAAACTGTGCTTTTGTTTCCCATGAAATCAACCAGACAGCATCATTAACATAAATACATTTTAAGTAAAATTCAAGTATAACCACCCCACCTGCCCCTTCTGACACAGACTATTGTAGGTTTTTGTTCTATCTCCAGTTGTAAAATAGCTATATAACTATATTCCTTGTATTAAAATGGTTATAGTCTCTTTAGTTTTCTTTGTGTTGTGCAGTTTTTTCACATTTCTGCCTAATTTTCTGAATCCATGCCTCATAGTTTTACTTCCTGTCTTTATCTTCTGTTCTGCTCCTTGTACCCCTCAGTCAGCCCTAAACCTCAGTGTGCCGTGATGAAGACCTAAAATCCTAGAATGCATCTGAATACGAAAGCTGTGAGAATAGAGGAAGAAATATTTGTTTCTGCAAACAAGTGTTTATCAACTGATTAAAAGCATTTATGTGATTGTTAGTTTTCAGTTATTTAAAATTACAAACTGCAGGAGTTTGTGTATCTTGTCACGCTGCGCTAGGCTGTGAATTTAATTAAAGCTAGCCCTAAATATAATGACCACTAAACCGGTTCAGGTAACATCTGCGATCACACGTGGAACATGAACCACACTTGAAATTTGATTTAAATCTCTTAAAATGAAGATCCAAGGCGAGGGTATTTGTCATGTCTCCTCTCTCCTCATTGCTTCCTCACTTTGTCCACTTTGTTAGGCAGGAGGAGAGGAGGTGAGGAAAGAAACTGAGGATGCACAAGTGAAATAAGACAAGGATTTATCCTTGTGTTTCTACTTCTTGTTCTATGATTTTTTTTTCATATGTTTCCTTAAGTTATTTCCTTAAGTACTGTTTACCGTTACTATTACATTTGCCAGTGTCCTGTATTCGGGCCTCTCTTTTCTAAGACATGACGTTGTGCCTGACCAAGTAAGTGTCGAGCTGTGTTTTCCCTACTTCCTCGTACCTGCATGTGCTGAGCCTTGAAGGCGCTCAGCTCTTTCTCCACCTCGCAGATGTGGCTCGTGGCCTTGGCCATCTCCGCCCGCTCCAAGTCCCTCTCGGCCAACAGCTGCTCGATGTGCTGCTGCTTCTCCTTCAGGGCTTCCTGCAGCGCGGTGGTGCCCGAGATCTTCCGTGCGTAGCGCGATGATGTCTCCGTCAGCTTTAAAGGCGGGGAGGAAGGGGACAAAGGAGATAAGACTTTAAGAGGAGGATGAAAGTGTGAACAGAAAGGAAATGCAGATTGGGCTTGATGCATTCAGAAACATCGTTTATCCTGTTAGCCGCACAGGTCCCTCTCAGATCCAACATCCCGATGATTCTGACATCAGACTTTCATCGTTTTCATCGTCTGCTTTGTGATCACAGGAAATCAGCTGTCTGTGCCATGACAGGTCTTTGCTTTTTCATAATAAGTCATATTAAAAAAAACAATAGCAAACTTTAAACTTATTTTCTAAATTGTTAGCTACATAAGGCTTTAAAAAATATACGTTCTTCTTCTCTGAGGAAATATCTGGCTGGTTGGGAATATCTGCAACAGGGAGACCAAAAACAACCATTTAATCACAGTGAATGCTGCAGTATTCTCTTTGGCCACTAGAGGATGCTCTTTGACAGGATTTCTACCAGCCCTCGCTACCTCATCTCATTTCAGCAGCATTTATGGAACTTTCTTTAATAATGAGCTAGATTGAAGCATTCTGCACATAAAACATTACATCTGCACTTTTATGTGTAGATATTTCATATAAAATGTGTCAGTCAGGCTCAATTTAACGTCATATACCTGTGTATTTGACAACCTGTAAGGTAACAAATTCATGCTTTTATGATGGCAACACTATTATGTAGCACATAGACTCACAGTAAGCTTCATACGTTCACAGTGAATCAGAGATCCTTGTGCAAATTTGTGCCCATAATTCACCATCCAAATTAAAAACGGCGCCTGCTTTCTAACCACTTAAGAAAATTAAAACTGTGCAGGACGAAGCATCTTTAAGAAAGACAATTTTGTGCTGTGCCATCAGACTGATAATTCACAAAGGTTCCATTGAGTGCTGCCAACAATTAAGGAAAGTAAAGGGTAGTGTTCTCCATCAGGACCTGGCCTGTACCCAGATGCTAAAATCGATGCGAGATACCCTGATGTCCCATTCATTTCAGTCAGTTGCCAGCTGTTGCTGAGGATATTAGTCTTAAAGACGCAGTGCATGAAACAAGATGTCTGACTTCACTTTCAGCTGCACAGTCAGACATTCAGAGTCTCCCACTGCACAGCAGCTAAGTGAAAACATAAACCTCTTGGCAGATCAGCGAGTGTCAGTACAATAAACTACTTCATCATCCTCCTGTTTGAATCTGCAGCCACGATATTTCATTAGATTTAAAGACTTTCAGACATTGTAATGTACAGAATTATGAGCAACTAACAAACAGATGTTCCTAATCTTAATAATCATTCCTGTGAATTATTTTGGGGGGGTTGGACAATGACACATTCACAATATAGGGATGTTTTTAATATTTGCAGCTGAGAAGTGAGATGCTTTGCCAAGCCTAACAGGGATAAGGCTTTTATATGCATACACATATGAACCCTGTGGTCATGTTTACTTACTGACTTTTAAAGGGATCATTTTAGGGAATATTCTCATTTGCTTGCCTGCTAACACTTAGATGAGAAGATTTCTGCCTCTCTCATGTCTGTATGGTAAAGATTACTCCATAGATAGCAGTCAGTTAGCTTAGCTCAGCTCAGGAGCACGTAATTAGCCTGGCTCTGTCCAAAGGTAACAAAAAATGTGCCCACCTTCCCTAAACTCACTTGCTACAAGTTTTGTTTTGCTTAAAGTGGACCTGCAATGAAAACCTGTGGTTTGTATTAGCTACTGTGCAATAGTTAAGGCTATTTCATTTTGTTGCCTCAATGAGGACAGTTATTTGAATCAGCAGTGCAAGCTGAATTATAGCTAAAAATCGACAAATGGGATCATTCACTGAAGCATGCATTGATTAGGGTAAGTGTCAATACAACAGCCCCCGACTGGCATTTTAGCGATACACTTTCTCTCATCTATCTATCAATCAATCTAGAGATTTACATAACTATATCCATATATACTGTTACAATATATCCAAACTGTTAAATATATGTGAATTAAACA